CTGTTGGCTCGGGTACCCCTGTCCCATGTCTGCTCCCCTACCCCACAGCAGCAAGTCTGCCAGTCCCAGGGGGGAGAGCCCCCAGCAGCCCCACAGGATCCTACCTGAGCCCAGCCGGAGGAGGAGCAGAGTGAGGAGGGAAGTCAGGAGTCCCCTGGCATGGCCGGTGAGGCTGGGGTGGCTACAGCCCCAGGGGAGCCTCATCTGTGCTGCAGCAGGAGCAGGAGCTGTGGGCAGAGGTCAGAACAGAAGAAAGAGGGGACCGAGGGGCTTCAGGCACCGCAGGCGGATGGGGAAGGAGTCCCCTTGGTCCCAGGCATGAGAAGCCACAGACAGCAGTGTCTTCACCAGGGTGCAGAGCCTGCGCTTATCACGGGCTGGGGGACATAGCAGGAGGGCCACAGGGGTTCTTCTCCAAGGGATGCCCACCGATAGATTGATGTCCCTCACTGCACCCAGTAGAGCTGCAGGAAACACAAGTCTGCACTGAACTTTCCGCAACCTTTGCCCAGTTCCTGGAAGCAATAACCCTCTGGAATAAGCTGTGACCCTTAGGGGGCGGGAGCAAGAGGCACCAGGGTGGAACGGGATCAAAGGCTGCGGGGAAATGCTGCAGCTGGGTGCTGAGACAGGGAACAAGGGAAAGCATGTCTATTTTGCAGGGTTTAGCTAACCCAGGGATTATGTTGTATATAAACCTCAAGGACAGGACTGAGCTAGGGAGTACGAGGACAGGATGACCCTAAAAGATTGAGACAGGGAACAAGGCAAAGGATGTTGATTCTGTAGTTCTCAGCTAACACAGTTGTGTGTTAACCACAAGGAGAGGGTGACCCCAAGGATAAGGGAGTCAAAGACTGCATGCATAGATAATGAAGCCAGCAAGAACTGGCTTGACTGCTGACGTCTGTAAAAGAAAGGAAAGATCAGAAGTTTAGCAGTGAGGAAGACTTCTGTCCTACATCAAAAGACCAGCAGAGTACACTGGACAACCGCCTGAGGACTCTAGTGTGCATGCAGATAGGGGTGGAAACCTATGTTAATGATTTACGGAGACCTGATGAATATGTAAGAGACTTGCAGGAAATGAAATGAATATGCATATATCCCATCAATATAAACACTCTGGCAGTAACCATTGGTGTGCATGCTAGGAGGAGCGATCCCCCTTGCACTCAGCACTGTAATAAACATACCTGCTTTATAACTCTTTAGGAGTTGAGAAGTTTGTTTTCTGCACCTCAGTGCTAAGTGCCGTGCTACCACCCTTTGCCCAGTGTGGTGCAGGCAAACAACCAGCCCCACTCCCAGCTCTGCCCATTGCAGAGGAGGAAGAAATGGGCAGACCATTTGCCCTCTGGCAAGAGAAGCCCTGTTGCAGCAGGGCTTGGGCAGGGAAATGGCTTCCAAGGACCAGAGGGACAGCTTCTGCATGCAGCCAGGATGATGACATGGATGACCTGTTCTTGAAGGAACTAAGGCATGCCTCCGGATCCGCTGCCCTTGTCATTAGGGGAAAAGATTCAAATGGCCAAAGCTCAATTAGAGTTGAAGCTGGACAAAACTGTGGGGGACAACAAAAAGGACTTAAAAAAATAACAGCGAAAATAGGACCGGAGAAGCCATTGGTCCATTACTTGATGGGGATGGTCTCCTCACAAACAGGAACATTGACAATACAGAGATGTTTAATGCTTTCTTTGCCTTTGTCTTCAACACTGACGATGGGCTCTAGGACCCCAGGTGCTGAGCTGGAGGACCGTGAGAGCAGGAATGATAAACTCTCAGCAAATGCTGAATTAGTGTGGGATTTGCTCCTAGAGGTGGATACCATAGGGCCTGATGGGATTCATTCCAAAGTACTAAGAGAACTGGCTGATGTCATTATGAAATAAATTGTTTTTGAAATATCCTTGGGAATCTGGAGAGGTCCCAGTGACTGGAAGCTGCCAAACGTTGCCCCAGTTACCAAGAAGGGCAGCAAAGGAGGCCCTGGGAATTACAGGGCTGTCATTCTCACAGCAGTTGATGGTAAAGTTAGGGAGATTGCTCTGGGAGTGGGTGAAAAACGCCTGAGGGACAATGCAGTCACAGCACACGTGGTGAGGAGAAAGTGGTGAGGAGAAAGTCCTATTTACCAAACTCAATTTCTTTTTATGACAAGGTCAGCCTCCTAGTTGGCCAAGAAGACCCATCCGAGGTGATTTTTTGGATTTCAGTCAAGATTAAAACATTGTTTCCGACCATACCCAGCCGGACCTAATGTACAGCACAGACCCAGACAAATGCACGATACGCTGGGTCAACAATTGTCTGACAGGTGAGGCTCTGAGTGTTCTGCTAAACAGGGTGATATTAGGCTGGTGGCCAGTCACGAGTGGGGCTCTGCAGGGCTCCATTTTGGGGCCAGGTCTCGTCTGTGGCAGCCCAAAGGGCCAAGTGTGCCCTGGGGTGCCTCAGGCATGGCACTGCTGGCCAGCCGAGGGAAGGGATCGTCCCGCTTTGCTCGGCCTGCTGCGACCTCGCCTCAAGCACTGCGTGCAGCTGTGAGCACCGCAGCAGACGAAGGGCTTGAAACTGTGCAAGAACCTCCAAGGGAGGGCTACGAGGACGGCGAAGGCTCTGCAGGGCAAGGCGTGTGAGGAGCAGCTGAAGACGCTTGGTTTCTTGAGCCCAGAGCAGAGGAGACACAGGGGAGGCCTCATGGCAGCCCTCAACTTCCTAATGAGGGCAGTGGAGGGGCAAGCTCCAGTCTCTGCTCTCTGGGGCCAGTGACAGGGCCTGAGGGAACGGCATGGAGCTGCCAACTGGATGCAGCTGCCCTCGCAAGGGAGGCTGATGAGGCATAGGCAGAGCCAGTAGCGCCCCTTCCCCAGCCGTTCGACAGCAGCCCCTGGGGAGCGCAGTGAACAGGACGGGCAAAGAGTGTGTACCACGTCAGAAGGGCATGGTGCGGCAGGTCGTGCAGGCAGGGTGAGCAGGTGGGGCGCTCTTACTGCTCTTTTACAGCAGTCTTTCCCATCAGTACTTGTAACCTGCTTGCAAAATGCCTGGCCATGGTATCAATCAGGCAGAAAACCATGGTTTCTGCATCTCTTGTGGCCTCTCCAGCCGCAGTCACTGATGTAGCTACTCAAACGGAGGGCTTGGGGAAACACACTGCCGTCCAGGTCTTGGAGAGGCAGGTGACCTGTTCTCTAAAAACACCAGTGAAAGGACCAGCGGGAATGGCGTTAAGCAGTGGAAGTTTAGGCTGGACATCAGGAAGAGGTTCTTCATGAAGGGGGTGGTTGCATACTGGAACAGGCTCCTCAGGGATCAGTCACTGCACCAATCCTGCCTGAATTTAAAAAGCGATTGGACTGTGCACTTAGTCACAGGGTCTAAACTTTTGGGTAGACCTGTGGGGTGCCACGAGTTGGACGTGATGATCCTTATGGGTCCCTTCCAACTCGGGATATTCAATTATTCTATGATGTTATGAAATTGGCTGGAAAGCGGTAAAGATGAAATGTATCTAGGGGTTTTGCTCAATGCCCACCTGAGGATCTAGGGGTTTTGCTCAACGCCCACCTGAACATGAGCCAGGAGTGTGCCCAAGTGGCCAAGAAGGCCAACGACATCCTGGCCTGTATCAGACATAGCATGGCCAGTAGGACCAGAGAGGTCATTGTCCCCCTCTACATTGCCCTGGAGAGGCTGAACCTGGAGAACTGTGTTCAATTTTGGAGCCCTCACTAAAAGAAGAGCATCAAGGCCCTGCAGTGTGTCCAGAGAAGTGCTACAAAACTGGTGAAGGGCCTGGAACACAATTCCAACAAGGGGCGCCTGAGGGAACTGGGGTCTTTTAGTCCGGAGACAGCTCAGAGGAGACCTTATGGCTCTCTACAACTACCTGAAAGGAAGCTGTGGGAGCTGGGGGCAGATAACTAGCAATAGAACAAGAGGGAATGGCCTCAAGTTGTGCCGGGGGAGTTTAGGCTGGAAATGTGGAGAAATTTGTTCTCAGAAAGAGTGGTTTGGCATTGGAACGGGTTGCCAAGGGAAGTGGTTGAGTCACCATCAGTGGAGGTCTTTAAAAGACGTTTAGATGTAGAGCTTAGTGATATGGTTTAGTGGAGGACTTTTTAGTGTTAGGTCAGAGGTTGGACTCGATGATCTAGAGGTCTCTTCCAACCTAGAAATTCTGTGATTCTGTGATTCCTCCTAGCTTTGACTAACAGGACTAACACAAAGGGGACAGTCTGCTGCAAGACACCTTCTCAGGCAGCAAGGCCTCAGGACAGAAAGCACCCAAGAAATGCCACTGCCAGACTCCATCTTCCTCTGCAAAAATTTATTTGACACAGTCCTGCTGTGCCTTGATGTGCTCCAAAAGAGGGAACAAAGAGTCCCCTCAGGCTGCTCAGGCTCAGCACCAGGCACAGAGCAAGGATCAACCCCAACCTAGGAGGCAAAGGTGGCCTGCAATGGCCTGCAGCACACGGTGACCACATCCCTTGCCCTGGGGTCTGCAAGCAGTGCAAGCAGAGGGGAGAGGAGCGTGGAGAGCTGCTGCAGCCCCTGTGCTGCCCACTGGGGCTCAGAGGCAGGGTGAGACCCGTGGGTGCCAGCAGGGCTTGTGCCCAAGCACCGGAGCCCTGTGCAGGGCAAAGCCCAAAGCACCACAGCTCACCGAGCTCCACTTTGTTTGAGGTTCCCACAGACCCAGTCCTTTCCTGTGCTTTTCCCTGTCCTTCATGGAATGGATTCCACAGCATCCTGCCTCTCCCAAGCCCTCCCACAGCATCCAACTCAGAAAGCATCCCAGCCCCGCAGCATCCTGATCCCATAGCATCCAACCACGAGAACAGCTTCGCTGACCCCCATTGCAGCCATGCTCCGGCTCAAATCCAGCTTCCACTGGACTTTTCTGCCCTGCCACTTCAAGTTTCCTGTTCTTTTGGGGGTATGCAGCTTCCTTCAATAATGATTTAAAATATTCACACGCTGGGTTTTTACATGTTCAGAACTTGATTTATTCATTTACAAGGAGTGTTACTAATTCTTTTACATCTAAATTCCTGCTATATACTTCATTCTTTCACACTCAAAGTCAAATTTAATCACTGGAGCTAGAAACAGGGTTCCCAAAAATGAAGTAAAAGGGCTGCCTGAAGTCAGTACCCCCCACCAGCTGCCACAGGTCTCAGCGTGCAGGGAGAAACACAGGGCAGCCCCTTGCCCCACTGCCCCTCATTCCTGCAGTGCTCCTGCAGGATGAAGGAGAGGTGATGCAGGAGTGGCTGGAGAATCACAGGAGCTCCCCAGGTCTGAGGACACGGTCTACAGGGTGTTATCCCTCAGGCACAGCTGGGCATTCGTCCCCAGCCAGAACCAGGGGCGCATGCTCTCCCCTTTGAGGAAGACATCTGTGAAAATGAAGATCTCGACCCCATTGTCAGCATTGATAAAGGACACCTGCCCCTGGGTAAAGTCCAGACAGACCCAGATCCTTGTAGGGACAGGGGACAGGGACAAGGGGGTGTGAGGAGATGTGAGAGACATGAGCTGCCCCTCCTTGTACTGCACAGCCCAGATCCCTTCTTCAGGGCTCATGTTGATCTCCCCCTTCCTCTTCACCGATGCCCTGGCCACCCCCACAGCCAAACTTGAATACTTTCCCTTCTCCCCCTCTACCTCCACCTCCCAGCAGTGCCTCCCCTCTCTGAACTCGTCACGGCCCAGAACGCAGCAACTAGTGTCAAATCTCTCCGGGGCTTTGGGCACCTGCTGCCATTTACTTTCCCATCTCACACTGCTCTTGTCCTGAGACAGGACAAGCATGGGATGAGCCGTGCGTGGATCCAGGGTCACCTTCACTGCAGGGACAGAAGGAGCCAGGCCATCAGGGGCAGAGCTCAGCCCTGGGCAGGCTTTCCCCAGCTCGGGGCCAGGAGCTGCCCCACGGGGCAGGAGATGGGGCACCTCTTGGCTCCTGAACATGCCCCAGCAAGGGCAGGAGAAGCACTGCAGAGGGCAACCCAGTGCACACCTACCTGTATTATGAGACAGCAGAAAATTTCTCCGTGCTGGAAGGAGAGGGGAGAGCTGGTCACAGCCCATGGCTGGTGCCCAGTGGTTGTGGGTTTTGTGAGGGGCCAGCCCTGGGCTGCTCTGTCCCAGCTGCCCACCCTCCCCTGCACATTGCCTTGACATTGCCCTTGGGCTCAAGCTCAAGAACACTCACCCTGCCCTGCAGCTTGTTCCTCTGGAAAAAGAAGCAAAAGCAATGTCTGATGAGAGGGGAGAGCTTCTCGCCCCAAGCCTGAACCCCAAACTGCTTTGTTATGGTGCAGGATACTCACTGAGCTTTGCATCTTTTTTATCTGTCAAACAAAAGGGAAAGGAAAGCATGACAGAAAAGGACATCTTGCCTTCTCAAAATGCCCACTGGTAGAACCCAAAGGCCTTCATTTGGGGGAGGGATGGGCACTCACCCATCTCTGCAGTTAGATCCTCTGCAAAAGAAAAGCAAAAATACTTGGTGAGAGAGTACAGATTCTCATTACATGACAAGAACTCATTTTCTTTGGGCTTGGGGCCAGAGACTCACTCAGTCTTGCAGATTGGCGCTCTAGAAATGAGAAGAAAATCATGGTGAGAGGGAACAGCCTCCCATCCCATTGCGATGACCCCAAATACTTTCAGATGCAGATGGAGACTTACCAGCCTTTTGACGGTATTCATCTGGAAAAGAAAGAGAAAAGCAACGCATGATCAGAGGGGAAAGCTTCTCCTGCCATAGCTCCTATTGGAAGACATGAAGTTCTTTCCATGTGGGAGGGACACTCACCCAGCTCTGCTTTCTGTTCCGCTGCAAAAGGAAAGCAAAGGCAATGCATGATCAGAGGGGACAACTTCTTATCCCATGGCTGCTTCCACGGGAAGACCCCAAGTTCCTTCATTTTGGGGAGGGACACTCACCCAGCCTTTTATCTTTTCGTGCTGGAAAAGAAAGGTAAAAGCAATGCATGATCAGAGGGGACAACTTCTCATCATATGCCTGCTCCCATGGCTATGCCCACAAATTTATTCTTCTAGGAAGTGGCCAAATATAACTTTGCTCCCAAAGGAGGGACCAGACTAATAGTGAGTGAAGTTCATCTGTGAGCATGGCTTGTGCAAGCAGAACAACCAGCACAGAAACTTGTGCAGCTTTCTGTACGATGCCACCAAAAGACAAGTGGAAGTGAATGGGGAGCAGGTGGAGGACGTCCCTGTCCCGGAAGCGTCAATGCAGAGCCGGGCAGCCCCACAGCTCACTCCCTGTCCCCACCTTGATGCCTGTTCCCTTCATCCATCCCGGCCTTGTCCCGTGCCTAGGGCAGCCCCAGCCGCAGCACTCCCCACTCCCCCGTCAGGCTGAGAGGCCAGCCCTGGGCTGCTCTGTCCCAGTTGCCCACCCTCCCCTGCACATCGCTTTCGTGTTGCCAAGGGCACTCACCCAGCTCTGCTTCTTTTTCCTCTGAAGAAAAATAAAAAAAAGGGGGAGAGAAAAGAAATGCCTGATGAGAGGGGAGAGCTTCTCATTCTATTGCTGGACCCCATACTCTTTGTTGTGGTGCAGGATACTCACCGAGTTCTTTATCCTTCATCACTGTCAGACAAAAGCAGAAAGAATGCATGATAGAAAGGGACAATTTCCCATCCCACACTGCCCACCAATAGGGCCCAAATTCCTTCATTTTGGGGAGGGACACTCACCCAGCTTTTTATCTTTTTGGGCTGGAAAAGAAAGGTAAAAGCAATGCATGATCAGAGGGGACAGCTTCTCGTCATATGCCTGCTCCCATGTCTACGCCCCCAAATTTATTCTTCTAGGAAGTAGCCAAATATAACTTTGCTCCCAAAGGAGGGCCCAGACTAATGGTGAGTGAAGCTCAGCTGTGAGCATGGTTTGTGCAAGCAGAACAACCAGCACACAATCTTGTGCAGCTTTCTGTACGATGCCACCAAACGAGAGGTGGAAGTGAATGGGGATGGGTGGAGGACGTCCCTGTCCCGGAAGTGTCAGTGCCGAGTGGGGCAGCTCTGCAGCTTGCTCCCCGTACCCATCTTGATCCCCGTTCCTTTCAGCCATCCAGGCCATATTCTGTCCCCAGGGCAGCCTCGCACTCCCCACTCCCCCATCAGGGTGAGGGGCCCGTCCAGGGCTTCTCTGTCCCAGCTGCCCACCCTCCCGTGCACATCACCTTCTTGTTTCTGAGGACACTCACCCAGCTCTGCTGCTTGTTCCTCTGAAGAAAAGCAAAAAAGTCGGGGAGAGAAAAGAAATGCCTGATGAGAGGGGAGAGCTTTACATTATATCACTGGACCCCATACTGTTTGTTGTGGTGGAGGATACTCACTGAGTTCTTTATCCTTCCTCACTGTCAAACAAAAGCAGAAAGAATGCATGATAGAAAGGGACAACTTCCCATCCCACACTGCTCACCAATAGGGCCCAAGTTCCTTCATTTTGGGGAGGGACACTCACACAGCTCTTCAGCTTGTTCCTCTGCATAAGAAAATCAAAAACACTTGGTGAGAGAGTACAGATTCTCATTACATGATGAGAACCCGTTTTCTTTGGGTTCAGGGACAGAGACTCACGCAGTTTTCCAGACTGGCGCTCTAGAAATGAGAAGAAAATCATGGTGAGAGGAAACAGCTTCCAATCGCATTGCGACACCTCAAATCCCTTCATAGTTTGATGGAGACTTACCAGCCTTCGCACGGGAGTCATCTGGAAAAGAAAGAGAAAATCCTTGGAGTGCACTGTCCCAGCTGCCCACCCTCCTCTAAATATCGCCTTGGCCTTGCCCTGGGGCCCAAGCACATGGACACTCACCCAACTCTGCTTCTCGTTCCGCTGGAAAAGTAAAGCAAAAGCAAAGCAGGATAAGAAGGGAGAACTTCTCATCTGATTGCTGCTTATGGGAAAACATTGGGTTTCCGAATGCAGACTTACCTAACCGTCCAGCTTTTTTAATGGAAAAGGAAAGAAAAGTCAATGTGTGACCAGAAGGCAGTGCTTCACATTCCATGGCTACTCCCATAGCTACACCCTTAATTATTCTTCTGAGGTGAGTGTGCACAGAGCACCTACCTCCGAGTTCGGGAAGGACCATACTAAGAGGGAGCAAGACCCAGCTTTGAGCAATGCTTGTGCACATGGAGCATTAAGGACAGACACTTGTGCAGCTCTCTGCACCGTGCCACCAAAACACAAGGGGAAGTGAATGGGGATGGATGGAGGATGTCCCTGTCCAGAACTGTCAGTGCAGAGCGGGGCAGCCCCGCATCTTGCTCCCCATCCCCACCTTGATCCCTGTTCCTTTCAGCCATCCTGGCTGTGTCCTGTGCCCAGGGCAGCCCCAGCACTCCCCACTCCCACCCCAGGCTCCAGCTGCTCCTCCAGCACCCCCGAGCCACCAGCACACAAGCCCCCAGAGCCCACCCAGACCAGGCCCTCCCGCACAGACACCACTTCCCCAGGGGCAGGGGGCAGGGACTGCAAGGACTCACCCAGCTCTCGTCTCAGTGCCACTGAAAAGCAAAGGCGGAGGAACAGGTGGTGAGCAGAGCAGCTTGGTTGCTGGGTGGGAACATGTGCAGGGGGGCTGCGCCTTGCCACCAGCCCCACGCTGCAGCCATGCTCCCTGGCCTCCCACCCAAGATGATCCTAAGGCCTTTGGGATCCCCAGGAGAACATTCCCTTCCTCCTCCTACGCACCTCCCTGGGCCAGGGCTCAGCCCTGCTCCAGACTCAGGGGGGTCCCTGCAGAACACCTCTCTTTGCTCCATCCCTGCGCTGCCAGCTTACCTTGCTTTAGAAGGAGATAAACAAGGACGCCAATGACCACCACTAAAAGCACGAGGCCCACAGCCATTGGCACCATCCAGGTCTGGGCATTGTGGAAGAAGGGAGCTGAGAAAAGGCACCAGGAAAAGGGCTGTATTTACATGCCTGGGATTAGAAAAGCAAGACCAAGATTTCTCCTGGCTCAGGACAAGTGCAGGGGCCAGGAATACCTCACCCTGGCTGTGCCATTTGTACCTGCGATGTGTAGGGAAAATTTCCACTCCTGCTGGAGGCGGCTGCTCCTGACCACGCAGGACAAGGGCCACTCCAGGCTCTCGTTCATGATGACGGTGCTTTTGATTTCAAAGAGCCCCTCCTGGTCCTGGGAATGTGTCTGGGAGACCGAGGGCAGGTGCTGCCCACGAGCATCCTTCCACAGCAGCTGCGGCAGCGGGTACCAGCCGTCCGATCGACACAGCACCCGGACGCCTCCGGCCTCGTAGCCCCCGAGGTAGAGGTGGGGGTCAGCGCCTGTGGCTGGGGGAAGAGCATGTGGCTGGGGCTTGACTTGTGGAGGGATTGAATTCCAAGGCAAAGACCCCATCTGCTCCCATGCAGACACAGGACAGATCCAGCCACGGCCCCCATGGCTCTCAGACAAGTCCCACCATGCATGCACTCTTCCATGCATTCACAGACTATGGAGGAGAAGCCCCATAAGACTCAAGTCCTTGAACGGCCTCTTTGATGGTCATGAGCATGGGACAGTGATCTGGGTGAAACACACAAACCCAGGAACACCTGTACCATCTGCTTGAAGCATCAATCGAGCCACTAACCTGACACCACCAGATTCACCGTTGCTTCATCATAAGCATCACCATCTTTCACGATGCAGACATACTGGCCATCATCAGAAGGTCTCAGCCCCATGATTCGTAAGTCCAGGCTTCCAGCAGAGAGGCCATCTCTGACCAGCTCTGTCCTCCCGGCATATGCCCCCATCTGCTCCCCATACAGGTCCTCTCCATTGTGGTAGCGGTGCACTGTCTCAGAGATACGGTCCCGGATCCACCTGACCTCCAAGCTGCGAGCATCCCGTTGACGGGACAAGTGGCAGGGCAGCACGACATCCTGCCCCACAGTGGCAGTGAGAGGCTGGTCTGGTCCCACCACTCTGAGCTGGGCTGGGTCATGAAGAAGGGTACAGAGAGGTGGTGAGATTTTGCCATCATAAATTCAGGGGCAGTGAGTGACAAAGGGCGAGCTGTGTGAGTTCATGCGTGCTGTGTCCGCCTTGTCCTGTTGGATACTGGGGCAACAGGAGAGGGAGAGGGAGGGCATGCAGGAGAAGGAGGTGTGCTGGGAGTGGGAGCCCTCTCTGCAGCATTCAGGCAGGTGAAGAAGAGCCAGAAAGGGCAGCCGAGGCACTGCCCGTATTGCATGGAATAACCAAAGGGAAAGCGAAACCGAGTGGGGGACCGAGCTGTGGGCTCAGGTTCCCCCTGTCCCACGGCTGCTCCCCTGCCCCACATCATCAAGTCTGTCAGGCCCAGGGGAGAGAGCCCCCAGCAGCCCCACAGGATCCTACCTGAGCCCAGCCGGAGGAGGAGCAGAGTGACGAGGGAAGTCAGGAGGCCCCTGGCATGGCCGGTGAGGCTGGGGTGTCTGTAGACACAGGAGAGCCCCATCTGTGCTGCAGCGGGAGCAGGAGCCGGCATCAGAAGCTGGAGCAGAAGAGAGAGGGGACCGAGGGGCTGCAGGCACCACAGGCAGATGGGGAAGGAGTCCCCCTGGGCCCAGGCACAAATAGGCACAGCCAGCAGCACCTTAGGAAGGGCGCAGAGCCTGTGCTTTTATCACGGGCTGGGGGACACAGCAGGCAGCCCCCAGGGGTTCTTCTCCAAGGGAGTCCCACCGACAGAGAGGTCCCTCACGGCACCAGTCGAGCCGTGGAAAGCACAAGGCTACGCCCAACTTCCCTAACCTTTGCCCAGTTCCTGCCTACAATAACCCTCTGGGAGCACCTTCGTCCCTGGGGCAATGGGAGCAAGTGTCCCGGGAGCTCTAGAGGCCTGGCACCACCATCCCATCACAGCTGGGTGCCCTGCCCAATGCCTTCAGCAAGCACAAGTGGCTTGTCCCCAGCAGGAGCCTCACCAGAACACAAGGGAATGCCACTGACTGAGCTCACTGTCTGGGTTATGGGGACTGCAGTCTTTCCCTGATGCTTCGACTGCACCGCTCCTTCTCAATTCACTCTATTTCTGCTCCTCATGGGGTCCCTCCCGTGGGATGCCGTGCTTTCCAAACTGATCCTGCGTGGTCCTTACTCTGGCATCCCAGTTGTCTGCCCTCCCTGCATGCCTTTTTATGCAGAGGGATGAAGAGTTCTTGTGCTCTAAGGAAAACATCCTTAGAGTCTGCAGCTCTCCTCAGCTCCTTTGTTCCATAGGATGGTGTTCCAGGGGATCTCATCCTCTAGGTCTTTAAATAGCTTGAATTTGCTCTTTGGAAGTTCAGGGTCCTGCCTTTGCTCTTTGCCAGGCCCATATTCCTTGAGATCACAAACTCCTCCCCTGTGGTTGATCTTTCTGTGGACTTTGCTAGTTCTCTCAGAGTCTCCTCTCTCCTGCCTTAGAACCTTGTATCTATTGTGCAGAGGAACTTAGGGGCAGGGGGAAGACTCCTTCTCTGTCTCCAGTCAGAGACGAGGGTCCACCCTCCTTTGTCCTGTGAGTCTTCAAATATACTTATTTTGGGCTGCACGCTTGTCTCCCTACCCCTTGCCTGGGCTTAAGGCAGGGCTGTTGCTCAGCCCGTATCCACATATAATATCATTTATCAATCTCCTACTCAGTTTCCCACATGCTATGCTGCCTGGTGAGCTCCTGTCCCAACTGAGCCACCTGTTTGAAGAGCTCACCCAGCTGAGGGCACACTTGCACCCATGACACCCACTTCTGCCTTCAGGCCCTAAGGGGACCTCCAGAGACTGGAGCTCCCTGGAAGTGAGGATTTGGGCTGCTCTTCCCATCCTCAGGAGGTCTGTTTGTGGGGAGGTATCTACCTAGGGAGGTTGCCGACCACCCATTTGGGTTTCGGCTGCAGACCGGCAGACGTGGCGAGTGGACACCATTTCTTCAGCAGAAGGTCCTTCCCAGAACAGAGATATGACCAACGCTGCTCGACCTTCTTGCTCGCCCTGCCTGCAAGCACTGCCATGCAAACTGCCATGCCATGCCCTGACCAACACGCCATGCTCCATTCACCGCACGCCCGGACTCTCGCTGTCCCCAGGGTTCTGCCTTTGTACGACAGAGGAGGGGCATTTGGATCCTCCCATGCCTCATCAGCTGGCCTCACAAGGGCTGCTGAGTCTTAGCAGCTTCCTTGGCTGCCTTGAATAGCCTCGATGAAGGAAAATCCCTGCATGCCTCGATCCCCCACTCTGCTGCAGGACGCATCTGCCCTGGAGCCGATTGCCTCGTCTTCTTTTGTAATAATTTAAAATATTCCCACACTTGGAATTTCCCTGTTCAGAAGTTGACTTATTTAATTACACGGAGTATTGCTAATTCTTTTACATCGAAATCCATGCTAAATAATTCATGATTTCATGCACAAAGACAAATTCATAAATGGAGTTAGGAATGGAGAACTGTAGCCCACAAATGGGGTTTGCAAACATGAAGCAAAGGCGTGCCTGAAGTCTGAGTGCCCCCACCAGCTGACGCAGGTCTCAGCATGCAGTGAGGTGTATGGGGCAGCCTCTGGACCCAATGCCCCTCATTCTTGCCCTGCTCCTGCAGGACCAAGGAGACGTGAGCCAAGAGTGCAGAAATTTCTTCTCAGAAAGAATGGTTAGGCATTGGAACGGGTTGTCCTGGGAGTTGGTGGAGTCACTGTCCCTGGGGGCGTTTAAGGAAAGGCTGGGCGTGGTGCTTAGGGACATGGTTTAGTGGGTAATAGTGGTGGCAGAGAGGTGGTTGGCCCAGATGTGAGAAACAAAGATGTGATTTTGCAGCAGAAGGTGTGTTTTTGCAGTGAAAATGACACTATCCTTGCATACTTGGAAGGGATTTTTAAGTCATGACAGTGGCGTAGCAGTGATGACCTTAGAGGTCTTTTCCAACTGTACTGGGTCTGGCTGTGATGTTAACTTTCCCTGCAGCAGCCCATACAGTGCTGTGCTCTGCACTTGGAGCTAGAACAGCAGTGGTACCACACCAGGGTTGTGTCTGCTGCTGAGCAGTGCTGGCACAGCATCGGGGCTCTCTGTAACCCTCCTAGGGGGTGGGCAAAAAAGTGAGAGAAGAAACATCACCAGAGCACGCTGACGTAAACCAACCAAAGGGATATTCCATACCATGGTCAATCATCGCTCATTTGTGGGAAGTAGAGAGTAATTTCTTTCCTCTGCTATTCCAAATAGCCTTTATTGGATTTGTTTCTTTGTTTGTTTGTTTTTCCCTTTCCCCCTCCCTTTTCCCCTTTCCTTTTTTCCTTTTTTTTTTTTCCTTTTTTTCTTTCTTTTTTTTTTTTCCCCCCTTTAGTTAAATTGCTTAGTTAACAATAACATTTCCTGAATATTTTTTTTTTCCTTTAGTTAAATTATCCTTATCTCAACCCGTGAGTTGTTCTTTACTTTACTTCTTCCCCTCCTCATGTAGGGAGGGGGAGTGAGACAGCAGTTGTGGTGTTCAGCTGCCGAGCACAGTAAAACCACCACACCAACTTCAATGATTCTTTGATCTAGGGCTGAAGTCTGAGGCCACCTGCTGCCTCTGCTTGGAGGACTTCCAGGAGCTGGTGATGCCTCCTGTGGGCACAGCCTCTGCAGAGGCTGTGTGATGGAGGCTGGAAACTCTTTGGGTGCCCCCAGGGCAGGGAGGGCAATGAACCCAGGTGGGACAAGGCGGTCCCAGGCACCAGCTGGGGAAGTGGGGCAGCTGGAGCTTTGGTTCCTCCTGGCTCTGACTCCCAGGACCAACACCAAGGAGACGGTCTGCTGCAAGACGCCTTCGCAGGCAGCAAAGCCTCGGGACAGAAAGCACGCAGCAAATGCCACTGCCAGACTCCATCTTCGTGTGCAAAACTTTATTTCACAGAATCATAGAATTGTAGAATATCCCGTGTTGGAAGGGACCTATAAGGATCATCAAGTCCAACTCCTGGCACAGCACAGGTCTGCCCAGAGGTTTAGACCATGGGACTAAGTGCACAGTCCAATCGCTTTTTAAATTCAGACAGGCTTGGTGCAGTGAGTACTTCCCTGGGGAGCCTGTTCCAGTGTGCAACCACCCTCTTGGTGAAGAACCTCTTCCTGATGCCCAGCGTAAACTTCCCCTGCCTCAGCTTAATGCCATTCCCGTGGGTCCTATCACTGTTGTCTACAGAGAGTAGGTCACCTGCCTCTCCACTCCCCCTTGCAAGGAAGTTGTAGACCATGATGAGGTCCCCCCTCAGCCTCCTCTTCTTCAGGCTGAACAGGCCCAGTGCCCTCAGCCATCTTCGTCGCCCTCTTCTGGACACTCTCCAACAGTTTAAAGTCCTCTTTGTACTGTGGTGCCCAGAACTGCACACAGTACTCGAGTTGAGGACGCACCAGTGCAGAGCAGAGCGGGACAATCACTTCCCTCAACCGACGAGCAATGCCGTGCTTGATGCACCCCAGGGTACGCTTGCCACAGTTCTGTTGCTTCTGTGCTTTTTTGTGCTCCAGAGGGGGGAACAAAAAGCCCCCACAGGCTGCTCATGCTCAGCACCAGGCACAGAGCAAGGATCAACCCCAAACTAGGAGGCAAAGGTGGCCTGCACTGGCCAGCAGCACAGTGACCACATCCCTTGCCCTGGGGTCTGCAAGCAGTGCAAGCAGAGGGGAGAAAAGCGTGGAGAGCTGCTGCTGCCCCTGTGCTGCCCACTGTGGCTCAGAGGCAGGGTGAGACCCGTGGGTGCCAGCAGGGCTTGTGCCCCAGTCCAGGAGTCCTGGGTAGGGCAGAGCCCAGGGGCTGCAAAGGGTCTGGCCCTTTCTGGCAGCATCCCAGCTCTCCTCCAGCAGCAGGGAGGAACACAGGGCAGCCCCTGGCCCCACTGCCCCTCATTCCTGTGCTGCTCCTGCAGAACCAAGGAGAGGTGATGCAGGAGTGGCTGGAGAATCACAGGAGCTCCCCTGGGCTGTGGACGTGGTGTGGGGGGTGCTTTCCCTCAGGCACAGCTGAAATCCCTCTGTCCACACCAGAAACCAGGGGCGGATGGGCTTTGTATCGAAGTTGGCTGCTGGGAACTTAAAGATCTCAACGCCGTTGTCAGCGTTGATAAAAGACACCTGCTGCTGGGTACAGTCCAGACAGACCCAGATTCTCATGGGGATAGAGGACAGGGACAAGGGCGTGCGAGGTAACGTCAGAGATTTGAGTTGTCCTTGTTGATACCGCACAGCCCAGATCCCTTCTTCAGGAGTCATTTTGTAAAAGCCAGTTCTGGTCACAGAAGCCCAAGCCACCCCCACACCCCACCAAGAATACGTATCCATCTTCCCCTCCACCTCCACCAACCAGCAGTGCCTCCCCTCTTCAAACTCCTCACGTCCCAACACGCAGCACCAACTGTCAAATCTGTCCAGGCTGTAAGGTAACTGCTGCTGTTCACTTTGAAATCTTACTCTCCTGTGGTCCTCTGACAGGACGAGCTGGGGATGAGCCGTGTCCGGATCCAGGGTCACCTTCACTGCAGGGACAGAAGGAGCCAGGCCATCAGGGGCAGAGCTCAGCCCTGGGCAGGCTTTCCCCAGCTCGGGGCCAGGAGCTGCCCCACGGGGCAGGAGATGGGGCACCTCTTGGCTCCTGAACATGCCCCACCAGGGGCAGGAGAAGCACCACAGAGGGCAACCCAGTGCACATTTACCTGTATTGTGAGGCAGCAGAAACTTTCTCCATGCTGGAAGGAGAGGGGAGAGCTGGTCACAGCCTATGGCCAGTGCCCAGTGGGTGTGGGCAGGGTGAGGGGCCAGCCCTGGGCTGCTCTGTCCCAGCTCCCCTGCACATCACCTTGGTGTTGCCCTAGGGCCCAAGCTCAGGGACACTCACCCAGCTCTGCAGCTTTTTTCTCTGAAAAGGAAAGTGAGTATAATGCATGATCAGGGGGGAGAGTTGCTCAGCCCATGGCATCTTTCAAGGGAAGACCCCACTTTCCCTTAGATCAGGAGGGAAACTCACCAAGCATTGCATGTTCTTTCGCTGCAAAAGAAAGAAAAAAGGAAAACATGATCAGAGATCATAGTTTCTGATCCCGTAGCTCTCACTAAGACATTATATATATAATTATATATATGTTTGTTTGTTTGTTTGTTTGTTTAGAGAGTGAGACTTACCCAGGTCTACAGCTTGTTTCTCTGGAAAACAAAAGAAAAAGGAATTAATGGTCAGAGGAAGAAATTTGTTATCTCTTGCAAAAACCCAAATTCCTGCTCTCCCTGGAGTGAGAAAACACAGAAAAGACGAAAAGTGAATGGGGATCGCTAGAATGGGGACAGAGCACCTTGCTCCCAGATTCAGAAGGACCAGACTAACAGGGAGCAAGGACCCAGCTTGGAGCAAGCCTCGTGCACGTGGACCAGTAAGGACAGACACTTGTGTAGCTCTCTGCACCACGCCACCAAAACACAAGGGGAAGTAAATGGAGATGGGTGGAGGACGTCCCTGTCTTGGAAACATCAGTGCAGAGCAGGGCAGCCCTGCAGCTCGCTCCCCATCCCCACCTTGATCCCCGTTCCTTTCAGCCATCCCGGCTGTGTCCCGTTCCCAGGGCAGCCCCAGCCCCAGCACTCCCCACTCCCACCCCAGGCTCCAGCTGCTCCTCCAGCACCCCCGAGCCACCAGCACACAAGCCCCCAGAGCCCACCCAGGCCAGGCCCTCCCGCACGGACACCACTTCCCCAGGGGCTGGGGGCAGGGACTGCAAGGACTCACCCAACTCTAGTCTCAGTGTCGCTGAAAAGCAAAGGCGGAGGAAGAGGTGATGAGCAGAGCAGCTTGGTTGCTGGGTGGGAACATGTGCAGGGGGGCTGCGCCTTGCCACCAGCCCCACGCTGCAGCCATGCTCCCTGGCATCCCACCCAAGGCCCCTTGCTCCAGACCCACACGGGTCCCTGCAGAACACCTCCCTCTGCTCCATCCCTGTGCTGCCAGCTTACCTTGCTTTCGAAAGAGATAAACACCGAGGCCAATGGACACAGCCAAAAGCACGAGGACCAGAGCCAGAGCCACCATCCAGGGCTGGGCGTTGTGGAAGAAGGGAGCTGAGAAAAGGCACCAGGAAAAGGGCTGTGTTTCCATGCCCGTGGATGAAAAAGCAAGACCCAGACTTCTGCCAGGTCAGGAGAAGTGTGGGGGCCAGGAACACCTCACCCTGGCTGTGCCATTTGTACCTGAGATGTGCAGGGATGATTCCCGTTCCTGCTGCAGGCGGCTGCTCCTGACCACACAGGACAAGGGCCCCTCCATGCTCCCGGTCACAATGACGGCGCCTTCGATTTCAAAGAGCCCCTCCTGGTCCTGGGAATGTGTCTGGGAGACCGAGGGCAGGTGCTGCCCTCGAGCATCCCTCCACAGCAGCTGCGGCAGCGGGTACCAGCCGGCCGATCGACACAGCACCCGGACACCTCCGGCCTCGTAGCCCCCCAGGGAGAGGTGGGGGTCAGCACCTGTGGCTGGGGGAAGAGCGCGTGGCTGGGGCTTGACTTGGAGAGGGATTCAGTTCCAAGGCAAAGACCCCATCTGCTCCCATGCCAGCCACAGCCCAGACCAACCATGGCCCCAGGGATTCTCAGACCTGGCAATCCACGCACCTACCCTCATCCCAGACAACCCTAGCTGGTGCCAGAACCAGAGAACAGGGATGCACATGTACAATGCCAGTGGCCACAAATTACCCAGGAAACCCAGGTGCTGAGCTTCATCACCTCCAGGCAGCTTCTCTGCACCAAGCTGTGCTGGTTCAAGAAGCCCCGAGACTTCCAGACAATGTCTCACATCTCCCCCAGCACAAAAAGCAAAACCCAAAAGAGGTCCAGCTGCTCAGAGGTCTCTTCCCTGCTCCAGGCACTGTGTTTGGTAGCATCATAGGCACAGATGAAGGGGCTGCTCAGCAGCCTGTGCCCAGTGCCCTTAAACCATCGTGGGAATGGTCTGCATAGACACCAGTGAAAACTAACAACTATATCCTACCTATGGATCTCTCTTCCCAAATACTACCTCCATTTCCATGACCATATTCCATGGTGTTTAATAGCTGAGACAGGAAAAAGAAACTTAAATTCTCCCCTGGAATTCCCGGTGTATTACCCCAGCCACAAACCTGACACCTCCAGCTCCACCGTTGCTTCATCATAAGCATCAGCATTTTTCACAGTGCAGAAGTACTGGCCATCATCAGAGGTTCTCAGCCCCGTGATTCGCAAGTCCAGGCTTCCAGCAGAGAGACCATCTCTGAGCAACTCTGTCCTCCTGGCATATGCCCCCATCTGCTCCCTGTATAGGTCCTCTCCATTGCGGTAGTGGTGCACTGTCTCAGACAAATCATTCCGGATCCACCTGACCTCCAAGCTGCGAGCATCGCGTTGAGGGGACAAGTGGCAGGGCAGCACGACATCCTTCCCCACGGTGGCAGTGACAGGCTGGCCTGGTCCCTCCACTCTGAGCTGGGCTGGACAATGGAGAAGGGCACAGAGAGGCGGTGAGATTTTGCCATTGTAAATTTAGGGTCAGTGAGTGACAAAGGGCGAGCTGTGTGTGAGTTGGTGCATGCTGTGTCCGCCTTGTCCTGTTGGATATTGGTGTCACAGGAGAGGGAGAGGGAGGATGAGCAGGAGAAGGAGGGGTGCTGGGAGTGGGAACCCTCTCTGCAGCATTCAGGCAGGTGAAGAAGAGCCAGAAAGTGCAGCCGAGGCGGCGCCCGGATTGCATGGAAGAACCAAAGGGAAAGCGAAACCGAGAGGGGGCAGAGCTGTGGGCTCAGGTCCCCCCTGTCCCACGGCCGCTCCCCTGCCCCACGTCATCAAGTCTGTCAGGACCAGAGGGGAGAACCCCCAGCAGCCCTGCAGGATCCTACCTGAGCCCAGCCGGAGGAGGAGCAGAGTGACGAGGGAAGTCAGGAGTCCCCTGGCATGGCCGGTGAGGCTGGGGTGTCTGTAGACACAGGAGAGCCCCATCTGTGCTGCAGCAGGAGCAGGAGCCGGCATCAGAAGCTGGAGCAGAAGAGAGAGGGGACCAAGGGGCTGCAGGAACCACAGGCAGATGGGGAAGGAGTCCCCCTGGGCCCAGGCACAAGGAGCCACAGCCAGCAGCGCCTTGGGCAGGGCGCAGAGCCTGCGCTTATCATGGTCTGGGGGACACAGCAGGCAGCCCCCAGGGGTTCTTCTCCAAGGGAGTCCCACTGACAGAGAGGTCCCTCACTGCACCCAGCAGAGCTGCAGAAAGCACAAGGCTACGCCCAACTTCCCTAACCTTTGCCCAGTTCCTGCCTGCAATAACCCTCTGGGAGCACCTTCGTCCCTGGGGCAATGGGAGCAAGTTTCCTGGGAGCTCTAGAGGCCTGGCACCACCATCCCATCACAGCTGGGTGCCCTGCCCAATGCCTTCAGCAAGCACAAGGGGCTTGTCCCCAGCAGGAGCCTCACCAGAACACCAGGGAATGCCACTGACTGAGCTCACTGTCTGGGTTATGGGGACTGTGGTCTTTCCCTGATGCTTCGACTCCGCCACTCCTCAATTCACTCTGCTCCTGCTCCTCAGGGGGTCCCTCCCGTGGGATGCCGTGCTTCCCAAACTGATCCTGCGTGGTCCTTACTCCGGCATCCCAGTTATCTGCCCTCCCTGCACGCCTTTTTATGCAGAGGGATGGAGAGTTCTTGCGCTCTAAGGAAAACATCCTCAGAGTCTCCATCTCTCCTCAGCTCCTTTGTCCCATAGGATGGTGTTCCAGGGGATCTCATCCTCTAGGTCTTTCAATAGCTTGGGTTTGCTCTTTGGAAGTTCAGGGTCCTGCCTTTGCTCTTTGCCAGGCCCATATTCCTGGTGATCACAAACTCAACCATGGCATGGTCACTGCAGCCCAGATTGCCTCCAGTCTTGTCCTCTTTAATGAGCTTGTCCACATAGGTGAGCGCCAGGTCAAGTAACTCTTCAGGTCAAGTAACGCTTCAGGTCAAGTAACGCTCCAGGTCAAGTAACGCTTCTCGTTACTTGACGCTCCTCAACGCGCTCTAGGAATCTCCTGGATTGCTTAAAGCCTACTGTGTAGTTTTCCCAGCAGACATCCAGGTGGTTCAAGTCCCCCATCAGGATAAGAGCGTGTGAGAATGATGCTTCTTGTAGTTGAAGCAAGAAGGCCTCATCCATAGGCTCTCCTTGAACAGGCAGCCTGTACTAGACTCCGGAAGAACCGCGTTTCTGTAATAGCAATCAGGTCATATTTGTCTAGAATCACAGAATCACAGAATTGTCTAGGTTGGAAGAGACCTCAAGATCATCGAGTCCAACCTCTGACCTAACACTAACAGTCCCCACTAAACGATATCCCTAAGCTCTACATCTAAACGTCTTTTAAAGACTTCCAGGGATGGTGACTCCACCACCTCCCTGGGCAGCCTGTTCCAGTGCCTAACAACCCTTTCGGTAAAGAAGTTCTTCCTAACATCCAACCTAAACCTCCCCTGGCTCAACTTCAGCCCATTCCCCCTCGTCCTGTCACCAGGCACATGGGAGAACAGGCCAACCCCCACCTCACTACAGCCTCCTTTGAGGTATCTGTAGAGAGCGATAAGGTCGCCCCTGAGCCACCTTTTCTCCAGGCTGAACAAGCCCAGCTCCCTCAGCCACTCCTCGTAGGACTTGTTCTCCAGGCCCCTCACCAGCTTCGTCGCCCTTCTCTGGACCCACTCAAGTACCTCTATGTCCTTCTTGTAGCGAGGGGCCCAAAACTGAACACAGTACTCGAGGTGCGGCCTCACCAGAGCCGAGTACAGGGGGACGATCACCTCCCTAGCCCCGCTGGTCACACTGTTTCTTATGCAAGCCAGGGTGCTGTTGGCCTTCTTGGCCACCTGAGCACACTGCTGGCTCATATTCAGCCGACTGTCCACCATCACTCTCAGGTCCTTCGCTGCCTGACAGCTCTCCAACCACTCATCTCCCAGCCTGTAGCTCTGCTTGGGGTTACTGCACCCCAGGTGCAGGACCCGGCACTTGGCCTTGTTAAACTTCATACAGTTGACCTCAGCCCATCGGTGCAGCCTATCCAGATCCTCCTGCAGAGCCTTCCTACCCTCGAGCAGATTTCTTTTTCAAGTCTAATTTCACCTTGGTTTCCAATTCCTCTTGCTTGTTTCCTGTGCTGCGTACATTGGTGTAGAGGCATTTCAGGTGGGCTGTTGGTCGTATTGCATTTCTAGAACCCTTCCTGTTGTATTGGGACAGGTCACGAGAGTTTCCCTGCCGTTACTTAGAGTGATGGTGTTCTCAGACATGCTTTCTTGCTCGCCCTGCCTGCAAGCACTTCTGTGCAAACTGCCATGCCATGCCCTGACCAACACGCCATGCTCTGTTCACCACGCTCCTGGACTCTCGCTCTCCCTAGGCTTCTGCCATTATATGACAGAAAGGAGGCTTCTGGATCCTCCCATGCCTCATCAGCTGGCCTCACAAGGGCTGCTGAGTCCTAGCAGCTCCCTTGGATTCCTCGAATACCCTCGATGAAGGAAAACCCCTGCATGCCTCGATCCCCCACTCTGCTGCAGGACGCATCTGCCCTGGAGCCGATTGTCTCGTCTTCTTTTGTAATGATTTAAAATATTCCCACACTTGGAATTTCCCTGTTCAGAAGTTGACTTATTTAATTACACGGAGTATTGCTAATTCTTTTACATCGAAATCCATGCTAAATAATTCATGCTTTCATGCACAAAGACAAATTCATAAATGGAGTTAGGAATGGAGAACTGGAGCCCACAAATGGGGTTTGCAAACTTGAAGCAAAGGCATGCCTGAAGTCTGAGTGCCCCCCACAAGCTGGTGCAGGTCTCAGCATGCAGGGAGGGGTGCAGGGTAGCCACTGGCCCCACTGCCCCTCATTCTTGCCCTGCTCCTGCAGGACCAAGGAGACGTGAGCCAAGAGTGCAGAAATTTCTTCTCAGAAAGAATGGTTAGGCATTGGAACGGGTTGTCCTGGGAGTTGGTGCAGTCACTGTCCCTGGGGGCGTTTAAGGAAAGGCTGGACGTGGTGCTTAGGGACATGGTTTAGTGGGTAATAGTGGTGGCAGAGAGGTGGTTGGCCCAGATGTGAGAAACAAAGATGTGATTTTGCAGCAGAAGGTGTGTTTTTGCAGTGGAAAATGACTCTATCCTTGCATACTTGGAAGGGATTTTTAAGTCATGACAGTGGCGTAGCAGTGATGACCTTAGAGGTCTTTTCCAACTGTACTGGGTCTGTCTGGGATGTTAACTTTCCCTGCAGCAGCCCATACAGTGCTGTGCTCTGCACTTGGAGCTAGAACAGCAGTGGTATCACACCAGAGTTGTGTCTGCTGCTGAGCAGTGCTGGCACAGCATCGGGACTCTCTCTAACCCTCCTAGGGGGTGGGCAAAAAAGTGAGAGAAGAAACATCACCAGAGCATGCTGACCTAAACCAACCAAAGGGATATTCCATACCGTGTGATGTCACACTCAGCAATAAAAGGTGGAAAAAGGAAGAAGAGAGGAGGGGTGGGCTCGCATTGTGAAAACGTCGGTCCTCCTCCCGAACACCGGCTACGTGTGTTGAGGCCCTCTTTCAAGGATGTGGTCAATCATTGCTCATTTGTGGCAAGTAGAGAGTAATTTCTTTCCTCTGCACTTCCACATAGCCTTTATTTGATTTGTTTGTTTGTTTGTTTGTTTTTCCCATTCCCCCTCCCTTTTCCCCTTTCCTTTTTTCCTTTTTTTTTTTTCCCTTTATTTGAATTGCTTAGTTAACAATAACATTTCCTTAATATTTTTTTTTTCCTTTAGTTAAGTTATCCTTACTTCAACCCGTGAGCTGTTCTTTACTTTACTTCTTCCCCACCTCATGTAGGGAGGGGGAGTGATTTTGCACAGGATCTTCCTGTGCAAAACTTTATTTCACAGAATCATAGAATTGTAGAATATCCCGAGTTGGAAGGGACCTATAAGGATCATCAAGTGCAACTCCTGGCACAGCACAGGTCTGCCCAAAAGTTTAGACCATGGGACTAAGTGCACAGTCCAATCGCTTTTTAAATTCAGGCAGGCTTGGTGCAGTGAGTACTTCCCTGGGGAGCGCGTTCCAGTGTGCAACCACCCTCTTGGTGAAGAACCTCTTCCTGATGTCCAGCGTAAACTTCCCCTGCCTCAGCTTAATGCCATTCCCGTGGGTCCTATCACTGGTGTTTACAGAGCATAGGTCACCTGCCTCTCCACTCCCCCTTGCAAGGAAGTTGTAGACCATGATGAGGTCCCCCCTCAGCCTCCTCTTCTTCGGGCTGAACAGGCCCAGTGCCCTCAGCCATCTTCGTTGCCCTCCTCTGGGCACTCTCCAACAGTTTAAAGTCCTCTTTGTACTGTGGTGCCCAGAACTGCACACAGTACTCGAGCTGAGGCCCCACCAGCGCAGAGCAGAGCGGGACAATCACTTCCCTCAACCAACGAGCAATGCCGTGCTCGATGCACCCCAGGGTACGCTTGCCACAGTTCTGTTGCTGCTGTGCCTTTTTGTGCTCCAGAGGGGGGAACATAAAGCCCCCACAGGCTGCTCATGCTCAGCACCAGGCACAGAGCAAAGATCAACCCCAACCTAGGAGGCAAAAGTGGCCTGCAATGGCCAGCAGCACACGGTGACCACATCCCTTGCCCTGGGGTCTGCAAGCATTGCAAGCAGAGGGGAGAGGAGTGAGAAGAGCTGCTGCTGCCCCTGTGCTGCCCACTGTGGCTCAGAGGCAGGGTGAGACCTGTGGGTGCCAGCAGGGCTTGTGCCCCAGCACAGGAGCCCTGTGCAGGGCAGAGCCCAAAGCACCACAGCTTCCCAAGCTCCACTTCCTTCAAGATTCCCACAGACCCAGTCCTTTCCAGTGCTTCTCCCCATGCTTCATGGGATGGATTCCACAGCATCCTGCCTTCCCCAAGCCCTCCCACAGCATCCAACTCAGAAAGCATCCCAGCCCTGCAGCATCCTGGTCCCAGAGCATCCGACCACGAGAACAGCTTTGCTGCCCTCCACTGTAGCCAGGCACCGGCTCAAATCCAGCTTCCACTGGACTTTTCTGCCCTGCCACTTCAAGTTTCCTGTTCTTTTGGGGGTATGCAGCTTCCTTCAATAATGATTTAAAATATTCACACGCTGGGATTTTCCATGTTCAGAAGTTGATTTATTCATTTACAAGGAGTATTACTAATTCTTTTACATCTAAATTCATCACTGGAGTTAGAAACATGTTTCCCAAAAACACAGAAAAAGGGCTGCCTGAAGTCATTACCCCCCACCATCTGCCACAGGTCTCAGCGTGCAGGCAGAAACACAGGGCAGCCCCTGGCCCCACTGCCCCTCATTCCTGCAGTGCTCCTGCAGGATGAAGGAGAGGTGATGCAGGAGTGTCTGGAGAAGGGCAGGAGCTCCGCAGGGCTGGGGACAGGGTCTACAGGGTGCTGTCCCTCAGGCACAGCTGGGCATTCGTCCCCAGCCAGAACCAGGGGCGCATGCTCTCCCCTTTCCGGAAGACATCTGTGAAAGTGAAGATCTCGACCCAATTGTCATGGTTTATAAAAGACACCTGCCCCTCAGTACAGTCAAGACAGACCCAGATCCTCGTGGGGACAGGGGACAGGGACAAGGGGGTGGGAGGAGATGTGAGAGACTTGAGATTGTCATAACAGTACTCCACGGCCCAGATCCCTTCTTTAGGGCTCATGTTGATCCACCCCTTCCTCTTCACAGATGCCCTGGCCACCCCCACAGCCCACCCTGAATGCTTTAGCCCCTCTCCCTCCACCTCCACCAACCAGCAGTGCCTCCCCTCTCTGAACTCCTCACGTCCTAGAACGCAACAACAAGTGTCAAATCTCTCTGGTGTGTCAGGCACCTGCTGCTGTTCAGTTTCCCGTTTCACACTGCAGTTGTCCTGAGACAGGACAAGCAGGGAATGAGCCGTGTGTGGATCCAGGGTCACCTTCACTGCAGGGACAGAAGGAGCCAGGCCATCAGGGGCAGAGCTCAGCCCTGGGCAGGCTTTTCCCAGCTCAGGGCCAGGAGCTGCCCCACGGGGCAGGAGATGGGGCACCTCTTGGCTCCTGAACATGCCCCACCAGAGGGAGGAGGAGCACCTCAGAGGACAACCCAGTGCACACCTACCTCTATTTTGAGGCAGTAGAAACCTTCTCCATGCTGGAAGGAGAGGGGAGAGCTGGTCACAGCCCATGGCCGGTGCCCAGTGGGTGTGGGTTTTGTGAGGGGTCAGCCCTGGGATGCTCTGTCCCAATTGCCCACCCTCCCCTGCACATTGCCTTGACATTGCCCTTGGGCTCAAGCTCAGGAACACTCACCCTGCCCTGCAGCTTGTTCCCCTGGAAAAAGAAAGCAAAAGCAATGTCTGATGAGAGGGGAGAGCTTCTCACCCCATGCCTGAACCCCAAACTGCTTTGTTATGCTGCAGGATACTCACTGAGCTTTGCATCTTTTTTCTCTGTCAAACAAAAGCAAAAAGAAAGCACGATGGACAAGGACATCTTGCCTTCTCAAAATGTCCACTGGTAGAACCCAAAGGCCTTCATTTGGGAGAGGGATGGGCACTCACCCAGCTCTGTGGCTAGTTCCTCTGCAAAAGAAAAGCAAAAACACTTGGTGAGATAGTACAGATTCTCATTACATGACAAGAACTCATTTTCTTTGGGTTTGGGGCCAGACACTCACGCTGTCTTGCAGATTGGTGCTCTAAAAATGAGAAGAAAATCATGGTGAGAGGGAACAGCTTCCCATCCCATTGTGATGACCCCGAATTCTTACAGATACTGATGGAGACTTACCCAGCCTTAGATTCTTTTTCTCTGCAAAAGAAAGAGAAAAACAATGCATGGTCAGAGGGGAAAGCTTCTCCTCCCATAGCTCCCATTGGAAGACATGAAGTTCTTTCCGTTGGGGAGGGACACTCACCCAGCTCTGCAGCCAGTTCCACTGCAAAAGGAAAGCAAAGGCAATGCATGATCAGAGGGGACAACTTCTCATCCCATGGCTGCTTCCACGGGAAGACCACAAATTCCTTCATTTTGTGGAGGGACACTCACCCAGCCTTTTATCTTTTTGTACTGGAACAGAAAGGTAAAAGGAATGCATGATCAGAGGGGACAGCTTCTCGTCATATGCCTGCTCCCATGGCTACGCCCCTAAATTTATTCTTCTAGGAAGTGGCCAAATATAACTTTGCTCCCAAAGGAGGGACCAGACTAATAGTGAATGAAGTTCATCTGGGAGCATGGTTTGTGCAAGCAGAACAACTAGCACAGAAATTTGTGCTGCTTTCAGTACGATGCCACCATAAGACAAGTGGAACTGAATGGGGATGGGTGGAGGATGTCCCTGTCCTGGAAGCGTCAGTGCCAAGCGGGGCAACCTCGCTTCCCATCCCCACCTTGATCCCCATTCGCTTCAGCCATCCCGGCCATGTCCCATGCCCAGGGTAGCCCCGCACTCCCCATGCCCCTGTCAGGGTGAGGGGCCCGCCCAGGGCTGCTCTGTCCCAGTAGCCTACCCTCCCCTGAACATTGCCTTCGTGTTGCCAAGGACACTCACCCAGCTCTGCTGCTTGTTCCTCTGAAGAAAACAAAAAAAGACAGGGAGAGAAAAGAAATGTCTGATGAGAGGGGAGAGCTTCTAATTCCATCGCTGGACCCCATACTGTTTGTTGTGGTGCAGGATACTCACCGAGTTCTGTATCCTTCCTCACTGTCAAACAAAAGCAAAAAGAAAGCATGATGGAAAGGGACATCTTGCCTTCTCAAAATGCCCACTGTTAGAACCCACATTCCTTCATTTGGGGGAGGGTCGGGCACTCACCCAGCTCTGCTTCTTTTGCCTCTGAAGAAAAAAAAAAAAAACGGGAAGAGAAAAGAAGTGCCCGTTGTGAGGGGAGATCTTCTCATTCCATCACTGGACCCCATAGTGTTTTGTTGTGGTGGAGGATACTCACTGAGTTCGTTATTCTTTCTCACTGTCAAACAAAAGCAAAAAGAATGCATGATAGAAAAGGACAACTTCCCATCCCACACTGCCCACCAATAGGGCCCAAATGCCTTCATTTTGGGGAGGGACACTCACCCAGCTCTTCAGTTAGATATTCTGCAAAAGAAAAGCAAAAATACTTGGTGAGAGAATACAGATTCTCATTACATGACAAGAACTCATTTTCTTTGGGTTTGGGGCCAGATACTCACGCAGTCTTGCAGATTGGTGAGCTAAAAATGAGAAGAAAATCATGGTGAGAGGGAACAGCTTCCCATCCCATTGCGATGACCCCAAATACATTCAGATGCTGATGGAGACTTACCCAGCCTTAGATCCTTTTCCTCTGCAAAAGAAAGAGAAAAGCAATGCATGATCAGAGGGGAAAGCGTCTCCTCCCATAGCTCCCATTGGAAGACATGAAGACATGATTGATATGATTGAATCATGGAAGACATGATTGTCGAGGACACTCACCCAGCTCTCCTACTTGTTCCTCTGAAGAAAAAAAAAAAAAAAGACGGGGAGAGAAAAGAAATGTCTGATGAGAGGGGAGATCTTCTCATTCCATCACTGGACCCCATAGTGTTTTGTTGTGGTGGAGGATACTCACTGCGTTCTTTATTCTTTCTCACTGTCAAACAAAAGCAAAAAGTATACATGATAGAAAGGGACAACTTCCCATCCCACACTGCCCACCAATAGGGCCCAAATGCCTTCATTTTGGGGAGGGACACTCACCCAGCTCTTCAGTTAGATACTCTGCATAAGAAAAGCAAAAATACTTGGTGAGAGAGTACAGATTCTCATTACATGATGAGAATCCATTTCCCTAGGGTACACTCACGCAGTCTTCCAGATTGGCGCTCTAGAAATGAGAAGAAAATCATGGTGAGAGGGAACAGCTTCCCATCCCACTGCGATGACCCCTTTGTGCAGCTCTCTGCACCGTGCCACCAACACACAATGGGAAGTGAATGGGGACAGGTGGAGGACGTCCCTGTCCCAGAAGCGTCTGTGGAGAGTGGGGCAGCCCCGCAGCTCGCTCCCCGTCCCCACTTTGATCCCCATTCCTTTCAGCCATCCTGGCCGTGTCCCGTGCCCAGGGCAGCCCCAGCCCCAGCATTCCCCACTCCCACCCCAGGCTCCAGCTGCTCCTCCAGCACCCCCAAGCCACCAGCACACAAGCCCCCAGAGCCCACCCAGACCAGGCCCTCCCGCAGGGACACCACTTCCCCAGGGGCTGGGGGCAGGGACTGCAAGGACTCACCCAGCTCTTGGCTCTGTGCCGCTGAAAAGCAAAGGCGGAGGAACAGGTGGTGAGCAGAGCAGCTTGGTTGCTGGGTGGGAACATGTGCAGGGGGGCTGTGCCTTGCCACCAGCCCCACGCTGCAGCCATGCTCCCTGGCATCCCAACCAAGACGATCCTAAGGCCTTTGGCATCCCCAGGAGAACATTCCCTTCCTCCTCCTACGCACCTCCCTGGGCCAGGGCTCAGCCCTGCTCCACACCCAGGGGGGTCCCTGCAGAACACCTCCCTCCGCTCCATCCCTGTGCTGCCAGCTTACCTTGTTTTCGAAAGAGATAAACACCGAGGCCAATGGACACAGCCAAAAGCACCAGGACCAGAGCCAGAGCCACCATCCAGGGCTGGGCGTTGTGGAAGAAGGGAGCTGAGAAAAGGCACCAGGAAAAGGGCTGTATTTACATGCCTGGGATTAGAAAATCAAGACCAAGACTTCTCCTGGGTCGGGACAAGTGTGGGGGCCAGGAACACCTCACCCTGGCTGTGCCATTTGTACCTGAGATGTGCAGGGATGATTCCCATTCCTGCTGGAGGCGGCTGCTCCTGACCACACAGGACAAGGGTCCCTCCACGCTCCCGGTCACGATGACGGCGCCTTCGATTTCAAAGAGCCCCTCCTGGTCTTGGGAATGTGTCTGGGGGTCTGAGGGCAGGTGCTGCCCGCGAGCATCCCTCCACAGCAGCTGTGGCAGCGGGTACCAGCCGGCCGATCGACACAGCACCCGGACACCTCCGGCCTCGTAGCCCCCCAGGGAGAGGTGGGGGTCAGTGCCTGTGGCTGGGGGAAGAGCGCGTGACTGGGGCTTGACTTGGGGAGGGATTGAGTTCCAAGGCAAAGACCCCATCTGCTCCCGTGCAGACACAGCCCAGACCCAGCCAGGGCCCCCATGGCTCTCAGACCAGTCCTTCCAAGCATGCACTCTTCCAAGCAGTTACAGACCATTGAGGAGAATCCCCTTCAGTCCTTGAAAGGACTCATTGATGGCCATGAGCATGGGACAGTGATCTGGGTGAAACACACAAACCCAGGAATACCTGCACAATCTCCTTGAAGCATCAATCCAGCCACTAACCTGACACCTCCAGATTCACCGTTGCTTCATCATAAGCATCACCATCTTTCACGATGCAGATGTACTGGCCATCATCAGAGGGCCTCAGCCCCATGATTCGCAAGTCCAGGCTTCCAGCAGAGAGACCATCTCTGAGCAACTCTGTCCTCCCGGCATATGCCTCTATCTGCTCCTTGTACAGGTCCTCTCCATTGTGGTAGTGGTGCACTGTCTCAGAGAACTTGTCCCGGATCCACCTGACCTCCAAGCTGCGAGCATCGCGTTGAGGGGACAAGTGGCAGGGCAGCACGACATCCTGCCCCACAGTGGCAGTGAGAGGCTGGTCTGGTCCCACCACTCTGAGCTGGGCTGGGCAATGGAGAAGGGCACAGAGAGGCGGTGAGATTTTGCCATCATAAATTTAGGGGTAGTGAATGACGAAGTGTGAGCTGTGTGTGAGTTAGTGTGTGCTGTGTCCGCCTTGTCCTGTTGGATACCGGGGCAATAGGAGAGGGAGAGGAAGGACGTGTTGGAGAAGGAGGGGTGCTGGGAGTGGGAGCCCTCTCTGCAGCATTCAGGCGAAGGAGACACGGAAAGGGCAGTCAAGGCAGCGCCTGTATTGTGTGAAAGAACCAAAGGGAAAGCAAAACAATCTCCTTGAAGCATCAATCCAGCAACTAACCTGACACCTCCAGATTCACCGTTGCTTCATCATAAGCACCACCATCTTTCACGATGCAGATGTGTGAAAGAACCAAAGGGAAAGCGAAACCGAGAGGGTTTGAGCTGTGGGCTCAGGTTCCCCCTGTCCCACAGCCAATCCCAGCCCCACAGCAGCACGTCTGTCAGGCACAGGGGGAGAGCCCCCAGCAGCCCCGCAGGATCCTACCTGAGCTCAGCCAGAGGACGAGCAGAGTGACGAAGGAAATCAGGAGGCCACTGGCATAGCTGGTGAGTCTGGGGTGGCTGCAGACACAGGAGAGCCCCATCTGTGCTGCAGCGGGAGCAGGAGCAGGAGCAGAAGAGAGAGGGGACCAAGGGGCTGCAGGCACCACAGGCAGATGGGGAAGGAGTCCCCCTGGGCCTGGGCACAAATAGCCACAGCCAGCAGCACCTTGGGCAGGGCGCAGAGCCTGCACTTTTGTCACGGACTGGAGGACACAGCAGGCAGCCCCCAGGGGTTCTTCTCCAATGGAGTACCAGCGACAGAGAGGTCCCTCACGGCACCCAGCAGAGCTGCAGAAAGCACAAGGCTACGCCCAAGTTCCCTAACCTTTGCCCAATTCCTGACTGCAATAACCCTCTGGGAGCACCTTTGTCCCTGGGGCAATGGGAGCAAGTGTCTGGGGAGCTCTAGAGGCTTGGCACCACCATCCCATCACAGCTGGGTGTCCTGCCCAATGCCTTCAGCAAGCACAAGGGCTTGTCCCCAGCAGGAGCCTCTCCAGAACACCAGTTAATGCTAGTCTTTCTCTGATGCTTCGACTCCGCCACTCCTCAAATCACTCTGCTCCTGCTCCTTGTGGGGTCCCTCTCATGGGATGCCGTCCTTCCAAAAATGATCCTGCGTGGTCTTTACTCTGGCATCCCAGTTGTCTGCCGTTCCTGCCCGCCTTTTTACATAGAGGGACGGAGAGTTCTTGCACTCTAAGGAAAACATCCTTAGAGTCTCCAGCTCTCCTCAGCTCCTTTGTCCCATAGGATGGTGTTCCAGGGGATCTCATCCTCTAGGTCTTTAAATAGCTTGGATTTGCTCTTTGGAAATTCAGGGTCCTGCCTTGGCCCTTTGCCAGGCCCACATTCCTGGAGATCACAAACTCAACCATGGCATGGTCACTGCAGCCCAGATTGCCTCCAGTCTTGACCTCTTTAATGAGCTTGTCTGCATAGGTGAGCACCAGGTCAAGTAACGCTTCTCGTTGGGTTGGTTTCTCTAGTACTTTTACCAGGAAGTAATCCTCAACGCGCTCTAGGAATCTCCTGGATTGCTAAAAACAATGTAGTTTTCCCAGCAGACATCCGGGTGGTTCAAGTCCCCCATCAGGATGAGAGCATGCAAGCACGATGCTTCTTGTAGTTGAAGCAAGAAGGCCTCATCCATAGGCTCCCCTTGATCAGGCAGCCTGTAGTAGACTCCGGAAGAACCGTGTTTCTGTGATAGCAATCAGGTCATATTTGTCTAATTTCCCCATGGTTTCCAATTCCTCTTGCTTGTTTCCTGTGCTGCGTACATTGGTGTAGAGGCATTTCAGGTGGGCTGTTGGTCGTATTGCATTTCTAGAACCCTTCCTGTTGTATTGGGACAGGTCACGAGAGTTTCCCTGCCGTTACTTAGAGTGATGGTGTTCTCAGCCATGCTTTCTTGCTCGCCCTGCCTGCAAGCACTTCTGTGCAAACTGCCATGCCATGCCCTGACCAACACGCCATGCTCTGTTCACCACGCTCCTGGACTCTCGCTCTCCCTAGGCTTCTGCCATTATATGACAGAAAGGAGGCTTCTGGATCCTCCCATGCCTCATCAGCTGGCCTCACAAGGGCTGCTGAGTCCTAGCAGCTCCCTTGGATTCCTCGAATACCCTCGATGAAGGAAAACCCCTGCATGCCTCGATCCCCCACTCTGCTGCAGGACGCATCTGCCCTGGAGCCGATTGTCTCGTCTTCTTTTGTAATGATTTAAAATATTCCCACACTTGGAATTTCCCTGTTCAGAAGTTGACTTATTTAATTACACGGAGTATTGCTAATTCTTTTACATCGAAATCCATGCTAAATAATTCATGCTTTCATGCACAAAGACAAATTCATAAATGGAGTTAGGAATGGAGAACTGGAGCCCACAAATGGGGTTTGCAAACTTGAAGCAAAGGCATGCCTGAAGTCTGAGTGCCCCCCACAAGCTGGTGCAAGTTTCAGCATGCAGGGAGGGGTGCAGGGTAGCCACTGGCCCCACTGCCCCTCATTCTTGCCCTGCTCCTGCAGGACCAAGGAGACGTGAGCCAGGAGTGCAGAAATTTCTTCTCAGAAAGAATGGTTAGGCATTGGAACGGGTTGTCCTGGGAGTTGGTGCAGTCACTGTCCCTGGGGGCGTTTAAGGAAAGGCTGGACGTGGTGCTTAGGGACATGGTTTAGTGGGTAATAGTGGTGGCAGAGAGGTGGTTGGCCCAGATGTGAGAAACAAAGATGTGATTTTGCAGCAGAAGGTGTGTTTTTGCAGTGGAAAATGACGCTATCCTTGCATACTTGGAAGGCATTTTGCAAGGATGGCAGTGGTGTAGCAGTGATGACCTTAGAGGTCTTTTCCAACTGTACTGGGTCTGTCTGGGATGTTAACTTTCCCTGCAGCAGCCCATACAGTGCTGTGCTCTGCACTTGGAGCTAGAACAGCAGTGGTATCACACCAGTGTTGTGTCTGCTGCTGAGCAGTGCTGGCACAGCATCAGGACTCTCTCTAACCCTCCTAGGGGGTGGGCAAAAAAGTGAGAGAAGAAACATCACCAGAGCACGCTGACCTAAACCAACCAAAGGGATATTCCATACCATGGTCAATCATCACTCATTTGTGGGAAGTAGAGAGTAATTTCTTTCCTCTGCTCTTCCAAATAGCCTTTATTGGATTTGTTTGTTTGTTTGTTTTTCCCTTTCCCCCTCCCTTTTCCCCTTTCCTTTTTTTCCTTTTTTTTTTTTCTTTTTTTTTTCCCCTTTAGTTAAATTGCTTAGTTAACAATAACATTTCCTTAATATTTTTTTTTTTTTCCTTTAGTTAAGTTATCCTTACCTCAACCTGTGAGTTGTTCTTTACTTTACTTCTTCCCCTCCTCATGTAGGGAGGGGGAGTGAGACAGCAGTTGTGGTGTTTAGCTGCCGAGCACAGTAAAACCACCACACCAACTTCAATGATTCTTTGATCTAGGGCTGAAGTCTGAGGCCACCTCCTGCCTCTGCTTGGAAGACTTCCAGGAGCTGGTGATGCCTCCTGTGGGCACAACCTCTGCAGAGCCTGTGTGATGGAGGCTGGAAGCTCTTTGGGTGCCCCCAGGGCAGGGCAATGAACCCAGATGGGACAAGGGGGTCCCAGGCACCAGCTGGGGAAGTGGGGCAGCTGGAGCTTTGGTTCCTCCTGGCTCTGACTCCCAGGAGACCAAGGAGTCGGTCTACTGCAAGACGCCTTCGCAGGCAGCAAAGCCTCAGGACAGAAAGCACCCTGCACATGTCACTGCCAGACTCCATCTTCATGTGCAAAACTTTATTTCACAGAATCATAGAATTGTAGAATATTCTGAGTTGGAAGGGACCCATAAGGATCATCAAGTCCAACTCCTGGCACAGCACAGGTCTGCCCAAAAGTTTAGACCATGGGACTAAGTGCACAGTCCAATCGCTTTTTAAATTCAGACAGGCTTGGTGCAGTGAGTACTTCCCTGGGGAGCGCGTTCCAGTGTGCAACCACCCTCTTGGTGAAGAACCTCTTCCTGATGTCCAGCATAAACTTCCCCTGCCTCAGCTTAATGCCATTCCTGTGGGTCCTATCACTGTTGTCTATAGAGAATAGGTCACCTGCCTCTCCATTCCCCCTTGCAAGGAAGTTGTAGACCATGATGAGGTCCCCCCTCAGCCTCCTCTTCTTCAGGCTGAACAGGCCCAGTGCCCTCAGCCATCTTCGTCGCCCTCCTCTGGGCACTCTCCAACAGTTTAAAGTCCTCTTTGTACTGTGGTGCCCAGAACTGCACACAGTACTCGAGATGAGGCCGCACCAGTCCTGAGCAGAGCAGGACAATCACCTCCCTCAACGGACGAGCAATGCTGTGCTTGATGCACCTCAGGATACAGTTGCCACAGTCCTGCTGCTGCTGGGCCTTGTTGTGCTCCAGAGGGGGGAACAAAGAGACCCCACAGGCTGCTCATGCTCAGCACCAGGCACAGAGCAAGGATCAACCCCAACCTAGGAGGCAAAGGTGGCCTGCAATGGCCAGCAGCACACAGTGACCACATCCCTTGCCCTGGGGTCTGCAAGCAGTGCAAGCAGAGGGGAGAGGAGCGTGGAGAGCTGCTGCAGCCCCTGTGCTGCCGGCTGGCGCTCAGAGGCAGGGTGAGACCCATGGGTGCCAGCAGGGCTTGTGCCCCAGCACAGGAGCTGTGTGCAGGGCAAAGCCCAAAGCACCACAGCTCCCCGAGCTCCAGTTTGTTCGAGGTTCCCACAGACCCAGCCCTTTCCTGTGCTTTTCCCCATGCTTCATGGGACGGATTCCACAGCATCCTGCCTCCGCCAAGCCCTCCCACAGCATCCAACTCAGAAAGCATCCCAGCCCTGCAACATCCTGGCCTCAGAGCATCCAACCACGAGAACAGCTTCGCTGCCCCCCACAGTAGCCATGCACCGGCTCAAATCCAGCTTCCACTGGACTTTTCTGCCCTGCCACTTCAAGTTTCCTGTTCTTTTCGGGGTATGCAGCTTCCTTCAATAATGATTTAAAATATTCACACGCTGGGATTTTCCATGTTCAGAAGTTGATTTATTCATTTACAAGGAGTATTACTAATTCTTTTACATCTAAATCCCTGCTATATACTTCATGCTTTCACACCCAAAGCCAAATTCATCACTGGAGTTAGAAACATGTTTCCCAAAAACAAAGTAAAAGGGCTTCCTGAAGTCAGTACCCCAACAATCTGCTGCAGGTCTCGGCGTGCAGGGAAAAACACAGGGCAGCCCCTGGCCCCACTGCCCCTCATTCCTGCACTGCTCCTGCAGGATGAAGGAGAGGTGATGCAGGAGTGGCTGGAGAAGGGCAGGAGCCCCCCAAGGGAGGGAAAGGGTCTATGGGGTGTTGTTCCTCAGGCACAGCTGGGCATTCGTCCCCAGCCAGAACCAGGGGCGCATGCTCTCCCCTTTCAGGAAGGCATCTGTGAAAGTGAAGATCTCAACCCAATTGTCATGGTTTATAAAAGACACCTGCCCCTCAGTACAGTCAAGACAGACCCAGATCCTTGTGGGGACCGGGGACAGGGACAAGGGGGTGGGAGGAGATGTGAGAGACTTGAGATTTTCATAACAGTACTCCACAGCCCAGATCCCTTCTTCAGGGCTCATGTTGATCCACCCCTTCCTCTTCACAGATGCCCTGGCCACCCCCACAGCCCACCCTGAATGCTTTAGCCCCTCTCCCTCCACCTCCACCAACCAGCAGTGCCTCCCCTCTCTGAAATCCTCACGTCCTAGAACGCAGCAACTAGTGTCAAATCTCTCTGGTGTGTCAGGCACCTGCTGCTGTTCAGTTTCCCGTCTCACACTGCAGTTGTCCTGAGACAGGACAAGCATGGGATGAGCCGTGCGTGGATCCAGGGTCACCTTCACTGCAGGGACAGAAGGAGCCAGGCCATCAGGGGCAGAGCTCAGCCCTGGGCAGGCTTTCCCCAGCTCAGGGCCAGGAGCTGCCCCACGGGGCAGGAGATGGGGTACCTCTTGGCTCCTGAACATGGCCCACCAAGGGCAGGAGAAGCACCTCAGAGGGCAACCCTGTGCACACCTACCTCGATTTTGAGGCAGCAGAAACCTTCTCCATGCTGGAAGGAGAGGGGAGAGCTGATCACAGCCCATGGCCAGTGCCCAGTGGGTGTGGGTTTTGTGAGGGGTCAGCCCTGGGCTGCTCTGTCCCAATTGCCCACCCTCCCCTGCACATTGCCTTGACATTGCCCTTGTGCTCAAGCTCAGGAACACTCACCCTTCCCTGCAGCTTGTTCCCCTGGAAAAAGAAGCAAAAGCGATATCTAATGAGAGGGGAGAGCTTCTCACCCCATGCCTGAACCCCAAACTGCTTTGTTATGGTGCAGGATACTCACTGAGCTTTGCATCTTTTTTCTCTGTCAAACAAAAGGAAAAAGAAAGCGTGATGGAAAAGGACATCTTGCCTTCTCAAAATGCCCACTGGTAGAACGCAAAGGCCTTCATTTGGGGGAGGGATGGGTACTAACCCAGCTCTTCAGTTAGATCCTCTGCAAAAGAAAAGCAAAAATACTTGGTGAGAGAGTACAGATTCTTATTACATGACAAGAACTCATTTTCTTTGGGTTTGGGGCCAGACACTCACTCAGTCTTGCAGATTGGTGCGCTAAAAATGAGAAGAAAATCATGGTGAGAGGGAACAGCTTCCCATCCCATTGCGATGACCCCAAATACTTTCAGATGCAGATGGAGACTTACCCAGCCTTGCATTCTTTTCCTCTGCAAAAGAAAGAGAAAAGCAATGCATGATCAGAGGGGAAAGCTCCTCCTGCCATAGCTCCCATTGGAAGACATGAAGTTCTTTCCGTTGGGAAGGGACACTCACCCAGCTCTGAAGACAGTTCCGCTGCAAAAGGAAAGCAAAGGCAATGCATGATCAGAGGGGACAACTTCTCATCCCATGGCTGCTTCCACGGGAAGACCACAAATTCCTTCATTTTGTGGAGGGACACTCACCCAGCCTTTTATCTTTTTGTACTGGAACAGAAAGGTAAAAGGAATGCATGATCAGAGGGGAAAGCTTCTCTTCCCATAGCTCCCATTGGAAGACATGAAGTTCTTTCCTTTGGGGAGGGACACTCACCCCGCTCTTCTCTCAGTTTCGCTGCAAAAGGAAAGCAAAGGCAATGCATGATCAGAGGGGACAACTTCTCATCCCATGGCTGCTTCCACGGGAAGACCACAAATTCCTTCATTTTGTGGAGGGACACTCACCCAGCTTTTTATGTTTTTTTACTGGAACAGAAAGGTAAAAGGAATGCATGATCAGAGGGGACAGCTTCTCGTCATATGCCTGCTCCCATGGCTACGCCCCAAAATTTATTCTTCTAGAAAGTGGCCAAATGTAACTTTGCTCCCAAAGGAGGGACCAGACTAATAGTGAGTGAAGTTCATCTGGGATCATGGCTTGTGCAAGCAGAACAACCAGCACACAATCTTGTGTAGCTTCCAGTATGATGTCACCAAAGATCAAATGAGAGTGAATGGGGAAGAGTTTGTCCCAGAAGCGTCAGTGCAGAGCGGGGCAGCCCCACAGCTCTCTCCCCATCCCCACCTTGATCCCTGTTCCTTTCAGCCATCCCAGCTGTGTCCCATGCCCAGGGCAGCCCCAGCCCTAGCCAACCCCACTCCTCCATCATGCTGAGGGGCCAGCCCTGGGCTGCTCTGTCCCAATTGCCCACCCTCCCCTGCACATCACATTCACGTTGCCCTGAGGACACTCACCCAGTTCTGCTACTTGTTCCTCTGAAGAAAACAAAACAAGGGGTGGGGGGGGGGGGGGAGGGGGGAGGGAGAAAAGAAGTGCCAGATCAGAGGGGAGATCTTCTCATTCCATCACTGGACCCCATCGGGTTTTGTTGTGGTGGAGGATACTCACTGCATTCTTTATTCTTTCTCACTGTCAAACAAAAGCAAAAAGAATGCATGATAGAAAGGGACAACTTCCCATCCCACACTGCCCACCAATAGGGCCCAAATGCCTTCATTTTGGGGAGGGATGGGCACTCACCCAGCTCTGCAGTTAGATCCTCTGCAAAAGAGAAGCAAAAATACTTGGTGAGAGAGTACAGATTCTCATTACATGACAAGAACTCATTTTCTTTGGGTTTGGGGCCAGACACTCACTCAGTCTTGCAGATTGGTGCGCTAGAAATGAGAAGAAAATCATGGTGAGAGGGAACAGCTTCCCATCCCATTGCGATGACCCCAAATACTTTCAGATGCAGATGGAGACTTACCCAGCCTTGCATTCTTTTTCTCTGCAAAAGAAAGAGAAAAGCAATGCATGATCAGAGGGGACAGCTTCTCCTGCCATAGCTCCCATTGGAAGACATGAAGTTCTTTCCGTTGGGAAGGGACACTCACCCAGCTCTGAAGACAGTTCCACTGCAAAAGGAAAGCAAAGGCAATGCATGATCAGAGGGGACAACTTCTCATCCCATGGCTGCTTCCACGGGAAGACCACAAATTCCTTCATTTTGTGGAGGGACACTCACCCAGCCTTTTATCTTTTTGTACTGGAACAGAAAGGTAAAAGGAATGCATGATCAGAGGGGACAGCTTCTCGTCATATGCCTGCTCCCATGGCTACGCCCCAAAATTTATTCTTCTAGAAACGGCCAAATGTAACTTTGCTCCCAAAGGTAGGGACCAGACTAATAGTGAGTGAAGTTCATCTGGGATCATGGCTTGTGCAAGCAGAACAACCAGCACACAATCTTGTGTAGCTTCCAGTGTGATGTCACCAAAGATCAAATGAGAGTGAATGGGGAAGAGTTTGTCCCAGAAGTGTCAGTGCAGAGCCGGAGAGCCCCACAGCTCTCTCCCCATCCCCACCTTGATCCCTGTTCCTTTCAGCCATCCCGGCTGTGTCCCATGCCCAGGGCAGCCCCAGCCCTAGCCAACCCCACTCCTCCATCATGCTGAGGGGCCAGCCCTGGGCTGCTCTGTCCCAATTGCCCACCCTCCCCTGCACATCACATTCACGTTGCCCTGAGGACACTCACCCAGTTCTGCTACTTGTTCCTCTGAAGAAAACAAAACAAGGGGTGGGGGGGGGGGGGAGGGGGGAGGGAGAAAAGAAGTGCCAGATCAGAGGGGAGATCTTCTCATTCCATCACTGGACCCCATCGGGTTTTGTTGTGGTGGAGGATACTCACTGCATTCTATATTCTTTCTCACTGTCAAACAAAATCAAAAAGAATGCATGATAGAAAGGGACAACTTCCCATCCCACACTGCCCACCAATAGGGCCCAAATGCCTTCATTTTGGGGAGGGATGGGCACTCACCCAGCTCTGCAGTTAGATCCTCTGCAAAAGAGAAGCAAAAATACTTGGTGAGAGAGTACAGATTCTCATTACATGAGAAGAACTCATTTACTTTGGGTTTGGGGCCAGACACTCACTCAGTCTTGCAGATTGGTGCGCTAGAAATGAGAAGAAAATCATGGTGAGAGGGAACAGCTTCCCATCCCATTGCGATGACCCCAAATCCTTTCAGATGCAGATGGAGACTTACCCAGCCTTGCATTCTTTTCCTCTGCAAAAGAAAGAGAAAAGCAATGCATGATCAGAGGGGAAAGCTTCTCCTGCCATAGCTCCCATTGGAAGACATGAAGTTCTTTCCGTTGGGGAGGGACACTCACCCAGCTCTGAAGACAGTTCCGCTGCAAAAGGAAAGCAAAGGAGAGCATGATCAGAGGGGACAGCTTCTCGTCATATGCTTGCTCCCATGGCTATGCCCCCAAATTTATTCTTCTAGGAAGTGGCCAAATGTAACTTTGCTCCCAAAGGAGGGACCAGAGTAATAGTGAGTGAAGTTCATCTGGGAGCATGGCTTGTGCAAGCAGAACAACCAGCACACAATCTTGTGTAGCTTCCAGTATGATGTCACCAAAGATCAAATGAGAGTGAATGGGTACGTATTGAGGACATCCCTGTTCCGGAAGCATCAGTGCAGAGTGGACCAGCCCTGCAGCTCGCTCCGTGTCCCAGTCTTGATCCCCCTTTTTTTCAGCCATCCTGGCTATGTGCCATGCCCAGGGCAGCCCCACACTCCCCACTACCCCATCAAGGTGAGGGGCCAACCCAGGGCTCCTCTGTCCCAGTTTCACACTCTCCCCTGAACAATGCCTTTGTGTTGCCCTGAGGACACTCACCCAGCTGTGCTGCTTGTTCCTCTGAAGAAAAAAAAAAAAAGACGGGGAGAGAAAAGAAATGTCTGATGAGAGGGGAGATCTTCTCATTCCATCACTGGACCCCATAGGGTTTTGTTGTGGTGGAGGATACTCACTGAATTCTATATTGTTTCTCACTGTCAAACAAAAGCAAAAAGAATGCATGATAGAAAGAAACAACTTCCCATCCCACATTGCCCTCCAATATGGCCCAAATTCCTTCATTTGGGAGAGGGACACTCACCCAGCTCTTCAGTTAGATCCTCTGCAAAAGAAAAGCAAAAATACTTGGTGAGAGAGTACAGATTCTCATTACATGATGATTACCCATTTTTCTTGGGTTCAGGGACAGAGACTCACTCAGTCTTGCAGATTGCTGCGCTGCAAATGAGAAGAAAAATGGTATGCTGAGAGGGAACAGCTTCTCATCACATTGCGACACCTCAAATGCCTTCAGATTTTGATGGAGACTTACCAGCCTTTGCACGGGAGTCATCTGGAAAAGAAAGAGAAAATCCCTGGAGTGCTCTGTCCCAGCTGCCTACCCTCCCCTAAATATCACCTTGGCCTTGCCCTGTGGCCCAAGCACATGGACACTCACCCAACTCTGCTGTTTGATCCGCTGGAAAAGGAAAGCAAAAGCAAAGCAGGATAAGAAGGGAGAACTTCTCATCTGATTGCTGCTTATGGGAAAACATTGGGTTTACGAATGCAGACTTACCTAACCATCCAGCTTTTTAAATGGAAAAGGAAAGAAAAGTCAATGTGTGCCCAGAAGGCAGTGCTTCACATTCCATGGCTACTCCCATAGATACACCCTTAATTATTATTCTGAGCTAAGTGTGCACAGAGCACCTACCTCCGAGTTTGGGAGGGACTGGACTAACAGGGAGCAAGGACCACCTTTGAGCAAGGCTTGTGCACGTGGAGCATTAAGGACAGACACTTGTGTAGCTCTCTGCACCGTGCCACCAAAAGACAAGGGGAAGTGAATGGGGATGGGTGGAGGACGTCCCTGTCCCAGAAGTGTCAGTGCAGAGCGGGGCAGCCTTGCAGCTCGCTCCCTGTCCCCACCTTGATCCCCGTTCCTTTCAGCCATCCTGGCTGTGTCCTGTGCCCAGGGCAACCCCAGCACTCCCCACTCCCACCCCAGGCTCCAGCTGCTCCTCCAGCACCCCCGAGCCACCAGCACACAAGCCCCCAGAGCCCACCCAGACCAGGCCCTCCCGCACAGACACCACTTCCCCAGGGTCTGGGGGCAGGGACTGCAAGGACTCACCCAGCTCTCGTATCCGTGCCTCTGAAAAGCAAAGGCGGAGGAAGAGGTGGTGAGCAGAGCAGCTTGGTTGCTGGGTGGGAACATGTGCAGGGGGGCTGCGCCTTGCCACCAGCCCCACGCTGCAGCCATGCTCCCTGGCCTCCCACCCAAGGCCCCTTGCCTTCTCCACTGCCTTCGTTGCGCAAGGCAGAGGCCCAAGACCATCCTAAGGCCTTTGGCATCCCCAGGAGAACATTCCCTTCCTCCTCCAATGCACCTCCCTGGGCCAGGGCTCAGCCCCACTCCAGACCCTGCAGAACACCCTCTCTCCGCTCCATCCCTGTGCTGCCAGCTTACCTTTCTTTCGAAAGAGATAAACAAGGACGACAATGAACACCACTAAAGGCACGAGGACCACAGCCATAGGCACTATCCAGGTCTGGGCGTTGTGGAAGAAGGGAGCTGAGAAAAGGCATCAGGAAAAGGGCTGTGTTTCCATGCCCGTGGATGAAAAAGCAAGACCCAGACTTCTGCCAAGTCAGGAGAAGTGTGGGGGCCAGGAACACCCACGGTGGCAGTGACAGGCTGGCCTGGTCCCTCCACTGTGAGCTGGGCTGGGTCATGAAGAAGGGCACAGAGAGGCAGTGAGATTTTGCCATTGTAAATTTAGGGTCAGTGAGCGACAAAGGGCGAGCTGTGCGTGAGTTGGTGTGTGCTGTGTCTGCCTTGTCCTGTTGGATACCGGGGCAACAGGAGAGGGAGAGGGAGGATGTGCAGGAGAAGGAGGTGTGCTGGGAGTGGGAGCCCTCTCTGCAGAATTCAGGAAGGTGAAGAAGAGCCAGGAAGTGCAGCCGAGGCAGCACCGGTATTGAATGGAAGAACCAAAGGGAAAGCGAAACCCAGCGGGGGACGAGCTGTGGGCTCAGGTCCCCCCTTCCCCATGGCCACTCCCCTGCCCCACAGCAGCAGGTCTGCCAGGCCCAGGGGGGAGAGCCCCCAGCAGCCCCACAGGATCCTACCTGAGCCCAGCTGGAGGAGGAGCAGAGTGACGAGGGAAGTCAGGAGGCCCCTGGCATGGCCGGTGAGACTGGAGTGGCCGCAGCCCCAGGAGAGCCCTATCTGTGCTGCAGCGGGAGCAGGAGCTAGGGTCAGGACCTGAAGAAGAGAGAGGGGACCGAGGGGCTGCAGGCACCACGGGCAGATGGGGAAGGAGTTCCCCTGGGCCCGGG